TATATATATATATATATATATGTTCCGATCAATAGTTATTTTTCCTATTGTTTGGTATGTAATTGTTGACTGGAGATGCAGTATAAAAAAGCTTCGATCTTAAAATCTTGTATATATTATTTTAATTATTTTTTACTATATTGATTATAATGGTTCATTATTATTAATTAAAGGTTAAGTTCACATAAATTTTATTAAATAAGGAATGATAATCACATAAATATTAAGATTGTTAATTTTTTAAGATGTTTTGTTCCAGTATATTTGGTTTAAAATCTCTTTTTGAAAAGAAGACAAATTAAAGAAAGTTTGATAAATGAAGTTTTTCTACATACAAAATTGGAACCCAAATACTAGTAGAAGGGAACAAGTTTGGAGAGCGAAAGAAACAAAAACCCAAGCCCATTGAATACCCACTGCATTGGGTTGCAACACAGTTGGGTTGGGCCTGAAGCTTATGTTTTGGTCCCACATATTAGGTTCCATATTAATTTCTTGTGAGAAAATGGTTCATGGAGCATTTGCTTATTTTGGCATTAAACGAATATAATTAAAAATTTATCTATGATTCAATAATTTACTTACCCATTTTATTGATCAACTGTCGATACATTTTCTGTTAAATTAGTTAATATACAAATTAATATGGGAAAATATACAACCAACGCTTAATTATTTTATTTTAATAAAAGGTTAACAGGCCTATAATTGAAAAATTATAATGTGATACTTAAAAAATTATTATTATTATTATTATTATTATATATATGAGGAAGGTTATAATAATATCGGTGTAATTTTTACTAAATATCACACCACTCAATAACTTTATATTAAATGTGAATTTTATAGATTAAAAGTTATTTACACCGGTGTCATTTAATAATATATATATATAATGACTGAAAAATTTTAAATATAAGATATTATTACTTAAACTCTTCTTAAGTCTTTAATAAATAAAAATACTTTTATTATAACTAATTACTAGACGATATGAATACAAATTTAGTACAGTACAGTACAGTATATGATGTAAATCATGATTAGTAGACCCTCTTTTTACTGGGAAATTAAAACGTGTCATTAAATTAGTTAGGATGAAATTCATCAAAACTCGTATATTATAATTATTCCTAAACTTAAAAAAGTTTCTTTCATAAATGTCCATTGAATCTGAATTAAACTACATTACATATGATTCCTGACTCCTCTCACAAAGAAAATGAAAAATGATTATTGTAAGTACTAGTACTAGTAAGAACGTGTACTTTTTCTCTAAAATAAAAAGAAAAAAAAGGTGTACTTTTTTTATCAATTACTCTTTTAATTACTATTCTCTCTTAACTTATATAAATAAATATATATATATATATTAAAACAAAATATAAATAAATTTTAATCAAATCAATTTTATTTAACACAAGTTTGCAAATTTTAAAAATAATTTGATATTTCATTTCATTAATTTATCATTAGATACTTTATTTCATTAATTCAAATTAACGGATAATCATAAAATTTTATATATTGATTCAAATTAATAAAATGAAGTAGTTTGCAAATTTTAAAAATAATTTGATATTTCATTTCATTAATTTATCATTAGATACTTTATTTCATTAATTCAAATTAACGGATAATCATAAAATTTTATATATTGATTCAAATTAATAAAATGAAGTATCAAATAATTTTTAAATTTTTTGATCTATACAATAAGAATTTTAAATTTAATGATTAGATTATTAAAATTTAATATAGAACATGATTATTAAGTGGAGTAAACTTAAGTAGACTTATTCTTAGAATAAATGAATCCCTTTATATATATACACACTTTAGTATATAAAAGACATTCGGTGTTTGAATATCACAAGTAGTAAATGATTATTAAAATAAATATTTATATCAAAAGACTTTCTTTTATCTTTATAAAAAATTATTGTATAATTTTTTTAAAATTAAAATTGTTAACAATAATATATACACTAAAATAAAAAAAAATTCTGTTAGATTTAAGTTTAAAATTTAGGATTTATACAAAGATATAAATAATGACACATACCATGCATGTAGCTTTGATTGCGCTATCAATGTCACGGCCGTCAAAGTCTTCACCCTCGTCAACAAGGGTAAGAAGCACGTCCATGAAATCCTCATCTTTCCGTTCACCTGAATCACGACTCCTGTTGCGTTTGTGTTCATCAAGCCAAACTTGAACAAAACCATCTACCCCTTTCGCCGTCTTCTTCATTTTCTTCTCTACTCCATCCAAATCCAACCATCTCAAATACGGAAGAGCATCGGAGACAGCGAATGTCCCCGCAAGTTCAACGAAGTCCCTCATTACCCTTCGGATTTGTTCGTTCTCTTCATGTTTATCATCACTAGCAAAACGTTTTCCTAGCATTGCTCTGAATATTATGTTAAAGGATATGTCCCCAAACCATCTCTGCATCTCAGTCACTCCTTTTTTGGAATAATTCTTGTAACTCTCTTTAAATACTGCCTTCACTTCTGATTCCATCAGGTGCTTGAGCATGTCTACTCGGTGAATAGAAAGGAGCTCTGTGGTAACAATCTTACGCACCTGACGCCAATAAGAACCGTAGGGGCTGAATCCAAACATGGAGAAGTTGTAGCCCAACAGTTCAGTGGCTAAAGTTTTGGGACGACTAGCAAACGCTTTGTCGTTGACGGTAAAACACTGTTTGGCCATTTCCCAGTTGCTCACGATCAGTGTTTTGTGAACACCAAGACGCAAGGTGAATATGGGGCCATGTTTGTCCGCCATGTTGCCCAACGTCACGTGAGGTGGTTGTGACCCAACCAAAAGGTGGAGGTGGCCAATCAAAGGCCACGCGCCACTAGCTTCTGGTGGTGCTTTCCTATTTTCCACTCTGCGCCTCCTCCATAAGGATGAAACAACAAAGAGAAATAAAAGCACCCCCAAAAAGATGGTAAATAATCCTCTTGAATCTTGCAGATCCATGGCGTAGGAGGATATCTTGTACATTGCATATATATGCTTTCTTGCTATATATAGTGTATATAATAGACGGCTTCTTGATAAGGTCGGTCTAACTCAATTGTAAAATTATCGACATGAAAGGTGAGTGGTAGTTTCTACTTAAAGGAAGAAAACAAAGCCGTAAGTGCCTGATGCGTCATTATTTAAGTTAGTCACGCTAATTTTTTTTGACTTTACAACCAGGGACGGAGCCAGGATTTCAATACTGGGGGGCCGAGAATTGGAATGATCAAATGAGGCGCTACATTTTTTTAAAAAAAAAAAATTCCAAAGTGATACCACATAGCAGGCCGTACCAGAAGTCCAAAAGTTGAATAAAAAAATAAATTTGGGTTATTCATTTAATTATACATATGAGTTTATATTAAAAATAGGGGGTGCCATATAGTAATATATATGTATATAAAAAAAAATTAAAATTGTTGGGGGGGCCGTGGCACCCGTAGGTCCCCCCTTGGCTCCGTCCTTGGTATTTATTTTTAATTAATTTTACCACATTAATTTTATTCTAAAGATTTTTTTTGTTTTAAGTGATTGTAATATTTAATATTAATTATAAGTGAATGCATAAGAAATAAAATTAACAATAAATTAAGAGTATAAAAAAATTATTTTTGAATATAACTTTAAAATCTAATGATTGTTACTTATAATTAGATAAAAAATAATTTGTTATTTATAATTAAGATGAAAGATAATATAATAAAATAATTATTACAAAAATTAATAACTTTTAAAGTAATATATATATATAGAGAGAGAGAAAAAAAATCCATTTACTCTATAAGTAAATTTACCTAAACTTATTTCGTTCAATAACTCATGTTTTACATAAACTTTCAATGATCTAGCCGTTGAAATTAAAATTCTTAATGCATATATCAAGTTTGCAAATTTTAAAAATAATTTGATATTTCATTTCATTAATTTATCATTAGATACTTTATTTCATTAATTCAAATTAACGGATAATCATAAAATTTTATATATTGATTCAAATTAATAAAATGAAGTATCAAATAATTTTTAAATTTTTTGATCTATATATATATATATATATATATAAATTCAGAGACTCGAAGAGAGTATAAGAAGAATGAATCTCCTTCGACTAATTAGCAATACTAAACAGGAGATCACTCTTTTACATTTAATCTTTGATAATTTTTTAATTAATTATTCCTAAAGTTTATAAAGAATAAAAAAAAATACTAAAGACAAAATAATGTTTTTTGAGTGATAAAGACGATGCATTAATTAGTGTATTTTGCATATGTCCTATAAATTAGGACTAGTACGTTGCTTCTTGGAGGTTATCCATAAATATTTATTGAGAAAACAGTTATTGGTGGATTCGACGTTGTTGGTACTTTTTTTTTTAATTCTAAATTATAGTGGATTTTATAGTTGAAAATAATGATTTTACTTGTAATGATATACATTAAAATTTAGTTTATATGTATTTTTTAATGTAAAATATTTTTACACAGATATTTAATAGAAATTCATTATATTATTTTTTTCATATTAATAAATAAATTTTGTACAAAAATTAATAAATAAAATAGCACGATCAAATCTTATTAATTTTTTTTTTGCTAAATATCATATTTCATTTTTAACCCATATTTGAATATACAATGAAAGGATAAAATAGTGATAAGTGACAAAAATTTACACCAGTAACTTTAAATTATAGCTCCTCTAAAGAAAAATAGTGCATCTTAAAAGATATAGTATACTTATAATTATTGATTAAAAAATTAATAATTGATAATCATAATAAAATTATATATATATATATATATATAATAAAATCTAAAATTAACTATAGTATTTATCGTTAATTTTTAATTAATAGTTATTATTATACTTTACCTTTTCTTTATTTTAGAAGAATCGAATCCTCAAATTAGATGAAAAAATTACGATCATACGCATAAAAAAAACTTTAAAGATTAGTTTAGTAACAATTTTTTTTATTGAACTTTAAAAGATAATATAGTGACAAAATATCTAAAGGCTGATATATAATAGTAATTACATATTCAAGAAACTAATCCGACTAAATTTTTTGAAAGAATAATATGATGTCATTTTTTGGGGTACATAGGGAAATAAAAGATAAAGAAAAAAAAAATTAAGAATTAACAAGCAAATCTTTCTATATGCAATTAGAATATTACTAGAAGGAATGAACCATGTTTGAAAAAAATTGATTAATCATTTAATAACTTTATAATTTAACTTTTCAATTTTTATAATTTAAAGAATGCAAGCCTCAGTCACCTAGTTTGATATCATATAAATAAATAAAAAAACACTTTCGAGTGAACTATATTTAATGTCATATAAACTTTAGAAGATGAATTTGAAATTTTCACTAATTATTTGAATCTAAAACTTTAATTTTAAACATTTAACAAAATTAATATTGTAACAATTCGTCGTGATCTTTATATTTAACTAGTAGTGAAAATTTTCAAAACTACCTAAGATTAACAAATAAATAATTATTGGGAAAAAAACATGTAAAACAATGTAAATATATGTATAAGGGTAAACCAACTAAAAAGGTAAAAGTTTCTTAACTGAACAATCATATATCATATACATAATCATGTATATAAAATAATTCAAAACAATTGTAATGTAAACATAGGTTGCTAGTCAAACAATTCTACAAAAATAGTCTCAAGCAACATTGTCATCTAGCATGACCTTCAGTCGCACCAAACTTTTCCAACCTAACCTTACCTTGTTTTTATGTGAATATGATCATCGCATTCCAACCATAAGAAAACATGTAAAGGGACGTTTAGTACGCAAAGTGCTTTTACATTCTTGTCTTTAAACGGGAATCTTAATTTCCCATATTTAGTAGTTATTTTAGAAAGAAAAAAAAAAGAGATTCCCAAAAATAAAGTTTTTTGGAAACTATTTTTATCTCACTTTCCCACAAAAACATTCCTATTGGGAGGTGAGAATCCAACTTTTTCGAGTTAGGAAAAAATTTTATGCATATAAAAAAACTACAATCTCCCTTTTTTAAACAAAAAGATCTCTCTCTCCTTCTATTTTTCTTTATCCCTTAAGCATTCTTAGCATCATTGCCTCAACATTTCAACAACATAATCATCTATGTACATACATTATCTTAGATCAATATATATAGAACCAACACATTCAACAACATTCAATTATTAATAATTAAATCATTAATATACATTACTTTAGATCAATGCATATTGAACTCATAACATATATTAACATACTACGTGTAATAGATTAAACTAATCAATACCTGTTCACTATTTACCCAACCAAACAACAAATTTTCATAAGGCACTTCACGCCTGACGCCACTCACTTTACATTGGATGTCATTGGGATAGAAAATTCTCTATCTCACCCATGCCCGATGCCACTCAACTCACGCCTAGCATGAATGAGATTAAAGAACCCTTGGGACAATCACGTTTGGTGTGACTAAACCCATGTCCAACCCTATTTCAAGTAGGGATAATTCTCTCTCCTCACGCTCGATATTTTTTCATTGGCGTCTGACATCATTTAAGTAGAGAGTTTTGTCTTGGTCACATTGAGTACCATACAACCCAGGCCCGTCATCACCAAGTCAGAGGTTTATCTTTCTTTTCACGCCCGACACAACTCAACCCATGTTTGACATGACCAAGTCAGAGACTTTTTTCTCTTTTCACGTCTCGTGTCACCAATTTTATGCTCGCCGTGAGTGAGATAGAGGATTTTTTATTTGAGTCACACTTTATGCTATGAAGGCGCACTTGACATGATGGTGAGTTCTCCACTTAGCAAATGCACGAATTTGCTCAAAACCACCTGAATTCCAGAGAATCCAAGCATGCAATACAACCATTCACATGTATTCATCATTAAATACTCGTTTCCAGCAAGAAACAACACATGCAACAATAAATCCTCCAAATCACCAAGTTATTCTCTTGAAAAACCAAAGACCCAAAAGTTTAACAATCACTTTCAAAATCATGCAATTGAACAACATAATTGCAACCATTGAGCAACCATTTCATGCACACGACTCAACAATTCAACAAGAATTCAGTTATGGCTCCCTTTACATCTAAATCAAAGTGTACCGAGGGAGAATAAAGAAAAAGAAGTTGAGCTCCTAGCAACATAAAAGCATCACCACTTTAATCTTCAAATAAACTATTCTAGATCTCCTATTTACAACTTTCAATAGCTTGGGAAAGGAATTGGAGGTCTATTATGAAATCAAAAGGAAGAATAATCACTTTCGGTTTCAAAGTTTCTCACTCTAGTTTATTTCTCAAGGTTTTTATGAGAAATGAATTTATAAAACTCAACTCTTAAAAAAAACCTTATACATCTTTCTCTCATGATCAAGTTGGATCTCTATTTAGAAAGACTATTTAAACACCTAAAAAATACCTAGAAAATCCTAAATTTTCAAAATTTCTCAATGATAAATCTCGACTCATCTCAATATATAATTATTGTAAGAAAATAACAATAATTAAAAAAAATGTAAAATGTTATAAATATATATACCAACTTTTTATTTTACTAATTTCATAGTAAATTCAATTTTCAAAACACGTGCAATTTAATAAAGTTCGTATATTTCAGTCTCATCAATTAAAAAAATGTTTGTACCAGTGGATCATTGCGTGAAAAAATGTTCTTTTTAACTACTATGTTTGAAATAAAGATTGTTCAAATTTAATTGCTCATTAAAGTGTGTTTCTATGTTTCTTAGAGTTTTTGAAATATGTTCCCGACCTTAGAATCTCTTCAATATTTTATGAGAGTGATTAAATATATTAAATGTGTTTACCTACCACAGTAACATTAGTTGTATTTGTAAGAGTTTGGATTGAATTAGTTAATTTGGCTTGTTCCGGACCTTATGAACAAATTATCTTATTTCGGTGTAATGTAATATAAATCTTGTTTAGATACAAATTTTTAAAAATAATTTCGATATTTTTTTATTCAGAAATATTCTTTATTTTTAATAAATAAATTTTTAAAAAACATTTTTAACTTATATCAAAATAAATTCATAATAACTTTATTTCAAGATAAAATAAATCTGTGGTTGATGAGCACATCTTAAAAATCACATATTTGAACATTGACTTCGGTCAATCTATACAACTTAAACCAACTTTATGGTTTGAAGTAATATACTCCAACAGATCAAGTTTGAAACACATTTTATTATATAATAAAATAGCATTGAACTTTAATTTCTCAAAAAAAAAAAAAAAAAAAACCAAAGGAAAAAATCCGACTAAATACAATTGTGAAAATACTCTATAATAAAAAATAAATTCTATTAAATAATAATGAACTCCCCTATAAACTAATTAAATGAGTTTTTACCCTTTTGATTAAGTAACAAATTACTAACTTTTGTGTCTTTTACAATCAATTGTGGAGATTATTTGACACAGAATTGTTCAAGTTTAATCAATAATTTTGAGTTTGAATCTTTGTATTTACTAACGATAAATACTTTGATGCAATTGAAGCATTTTTCTATCGTAAAAAAATAATTTTGAATGAAAAAAAATGATTATCTGTTTTGAGTTATTTATCGTTATTGTCTTTTGTACGCGTTGGCTAAGGTTGGTCATTGGAATTCAGTAGACGGCAAGGACTTAGGCACGACGCAAGTGCAACTACTTAGCATTAGCAATGGTAATGGAAAGGGTGATTCATCGAAGCATAGTCCAAGAAAATTCGTAACATTCCTACACAACCAAAGCAGTCAAGATGCAATGATTATAAAGACAAACAATGGTGGTAAATTTATGTACCTTTTTTTTATTATTACTAAGAATTTTTTTTAACACATGTTTCACAAACATTAAATAGGTGGCTTTTTTTATTTATTTGAATTTTCTACATTTATAAGATTCGGGATTCAAATGTTGATTAGTTAATTAAATAATGTGAACCCTTTATTATACATCAATCTATTTTTTTAATAAAAATTTTAAAGTAGCTTTATAGATAAAATATTACAAGTTGCTTAATATAATTTTATCTTTATTTTTGAAGTAGTTTTTACAACTTTAACTTTAATTTTAAAGCATCTCTTAAATAAGATAAAAAAAAAATTAAAAAGTTACTTACAATGTGAAGATAAATGTTAAAAAGCTTGTGATTCTTTAATTTTTAAAGAAAATCATCCTTTTGTTTGATTATTTTTTTTTATTTTTTTTAATTTATAATTTTAGTTTTTTATTTTATTTTAAAAGTATGATTTTTTTGTCTTATTGATAATTTGATATTTGTTGATCAACATTGGTTATTACAAGTGATAACAATTTATATTCCTTAACCAAATTGTACAGGATTTGAATCTCGATTTTAGGTGTGAAATAGATCATGTTGGGAGAGAAATATCCACCTTGTGTGTGTTCACATCTACGACAGAGATTAGTCACTATTTTCAGCCACGGATACTTCATCAATGACATGGTTACCCAAAAAAATATTTTGATATTTGTTGCTTGTAAAATTTTAATATTAATCTTTAATTTGTCACCACTAAAATAACATAATATTTTGTGACATGACATTTAATTTGTATTTGGTACGTGAAATATTTTTACTTGCTCAGGAATTTAAAGTTGAAAATGTTAATATTTTACATTTGATTTATCATATAAAAAATAACATTCTTTAAAAACATGAATTTTCAAAAATAATTTTATACAAGTTTTCTACCAAATTGTTCATGTAGTCTACATTTATAAGTTAAAAGGAGTGTTTTAGATAAAAATATTAAGTTAATTTAATTTGCTTTCAAGTAATATTTATAAATATTTTTAAAAACATTTATGATCAACCAAATAAATTTAATTATTACTAAGAATTATAATTATTAGAATTTACCATTTTTAGAAATCATGATTCTCAAACATTAAAAAAAAAAAAATCTTATACCAAATGTCCCTTTATAGATAGTAAATTATTGAGTTGGTTGACAAAAGTAATTGATGAACTAGTTAAAAGTCAACCAGTTTAGTAAAGTTAGTTTATATATTAGGTGAAAGCTTATAAATTAAATGAAATTTATAAGCTATATAAGTTAAAAGTTGAAAATTTAAGTTTAAGGACTTGTGTAGGTAAATTTCTATTGAGGCTCTTTAGAAAAAAAATAAAAAGAAAAAATTAAATATTTTTTTAAAGTTAAAATTAGTTTATAAATAAATAAATTTGTAGTATTTTCTTCTTATTAATTTCTCTAAAATTTTATTTTTAATTTATGAATAAATTAGTTTTAGTTTATTGAGAAACTCATTTCAAAACTTTTTCTCTTATAGGTGTTTTGGATAAACTTATTCAATCAAATAATAAAAACTAATTTATTAAATTTAAAGTGTTTAATAAAAATTGACTGGTAAGCTAGTTAATAAATTTTACTCCTCCCATTATTTTTTATCTATCGAATTTTTAGTAAATATTTGTTTCTATTTATTTATCATTTTTAAATTTTAAAACAATATTAATTATTATATTATTAATTATATACTTATATCTCATATAATTTTTAATTAATTTATACATGACAACTAATACGTATTTATTATGAAGCAAAAATGAAAGAAAATATAATAGAAAATGTAAAAATATTTTATGAAAAATAGAAAAATTTATTATATTTCTTAATTTATGTAAAACAATCTTAAACCACTATTGTAAAGAAATATGAAAACTTATACCAACCTAATTAATTTACATTTTAATATTTTATGTAGATAAAAAAAACAGTTTGATATCATTTATATTGCAACTTAAGAATTTATAGTGTTTTTTTCAGTGTAACTGTGTAATTCCGAGCAAATTTTTTTAAAATATTATATTATTCTTGATATAACGGTAGTGATGGAAATCAAATACTACGATATTAGATAAATGATTTTTATTTATTTTTTATTTTTATAATTATATGGACTCCTTTTTAGATTATTATCAGTATTATTTTTTTTATAACTAATTTACGATGCTATAAATCAAAATGGTACTTTTATTATTACATGATGAAATGTAAAAGAATGAAATATAAAGTTAATATTATATGTTACGATATAAGAATTAACATATAAACATATGAATCTATATTGTGTAATCTCATGATAAAATCTTTATCCTTCAGAAAGAGAGGAAAGAATTAACATATAAACATATTACCCTATTATATTAATTAGTGATAATAGGGTAATATGATATGGAAATATGCACACAATTTCTAAGACATCCTGTGGTGGAATACTCTAAGAAATCATCTTGGTGGGTTTGTGTATGCTTTTTCTCTTAATTTGGGAAAATCCACCATCCTTCAACTAAAACCTTGGATCATCTACTTATATGAATGAATGAGAAATAAGTTTTAAAATTATTATAATCTTAATCGATCTAAATTTAAATTAATTTTGAAATAAGTTAAGGAGAAGAATATTGTAATTTTTAAGAAAATTTATATTTTTATTAAAGAAAGGAGGAAAACTCATAGGAAAATAGAAGGAAAGGGAAAGGCAACTGTGAAGAAAAAGAGAGAGAAACAGAGGCACTAAAAAAGTCTTTCACTGAAAAAAAAAACAAAAGGAAAAAAAAAGACAATATAAACAAAGACACATACACACTTGGTTCTGCTCCCTCTCTCTCCCCCATATTCCTAGTTCAGAATTCAGATTGATCAATTCAAACCCCATAGATCATACACTCTCTCCCAATCCTCATTGAACTCTCTCTCTCTCTCTCTCTCTCTCTCTCTCTCTCTCTCTCTCTCTCTCTCTCTCTCTCTCTCTCTCTATGTTTATTTAGTGCCCTTTTTGTTTTGCATCACCCAATCAATCACTGACCCCTTGTCTTCATTGCCCACATATCTTTTTCTCGCAAAGTTTGCGACTTTGTGCTGCAAAGATGAGCGGTGCGGGGTTTAGGGCTTCAATTCCGAGCAGTGTCAGGAAGACGATCCAGAACATCAAGGAGATCACGGGTAATCACAGTGAAGAAGACATCTATGCAATGCTCAAGGAATGTTCCATGGATCCCAACGAGACCACGCAGAAGCTTCTCCTTCAGGGTATCGTTCTTTTCCTCTTCAGCTGGATTCGATCTTGATCTTACAATTTGTTTTCTCGTGATCCATGTGCTGGACTTTTGTGTTTTCTCATCTGGGTTGGTTTCATTTGTTGTGTTTTGATTTTTATTTCTTAGCCCTATTTTGGAGTGAGGTGGGGGTGGGGTGGGGGGGACCTTGAATGATTGCGTTTGCTATGATGGGTTTTCACTGTTGAGACACTTTTGTTGGGCTGAGAAGGGGATTTTTTTATTACCTCTTTTGGTTTCTGAGGGGCTTTGGGTAGCTTGACTTATGGAAAGTTCAGTTTTTGGGTGAAATTTTGAGGGTGTGCACTTTCGTATAATGATGTATTTGGTTCATTTGTTTGGGTTATGGAGTTGGCTCTTTGCTTCAGAACGGTTTATTTATGGATTCATTAATTCATGTTCAACCTCCATTGTGTGTTTGTTTGGTTATGCCTTGAGCTGGTTTTGTGTTTAAGGTTGCACTGTCACTGAATCTGAGTTCAATTGATATTTTATTTTGTTTGATGATTGGTTGTGTGAAGTTTAGAATGTGAGTTATTTAAGCAAGGAACTTGTGTTGGATGTGCTGAGAGTGGTTGCTTTTGCTTATTGAGTTTCTGTAACGAGTATTGGTGATGCTGTTATGGGGTTTTCTGTAATCTTATTCTTTTTCTCAAGTTTTTCTTTTTCCAAAGTGGCATTTCAAAATTATCTTTATATCATTATCAGCTGATAGTTTATTAAGTTGACTTCCAATCAAGATTGTATTGTTTTGACTCTAAAATCGTCCCTTTGTGCTTTAATGCGCGTCCAATTTCTATTTTTTTATTCATTCTCATGATAAGGAGAGTTTCCTTCTTGGCAAGCTCATTTGGAAATGTAAACCCATTGTAAGGTCTAATCTTTGGATACTTAATAGGATTAGTGCTGTTGGTTGGTTGCAGATTGGCATATTTCACAATACCTAATTCTCTGTTTTATGCTATGTATAAAGCTAGTTTGGAAACAGACCTCATATATTTTTGCATTGTCACTACATGTTTGTGGGAAAATTTTCATGTAGTTCTTGAAATTTTTTGCCAGCATTCTTCTACCTTGGAGCAGTTTCTCATGACATGTTAAGGTTTTGGAACTAAATCCAAGGTTATAGCAATATAGCAGTTAGCAGATCACAGTGCAATGCTATAATGAAGTAGACTGAATGGAAACACTTTAAAAATATGCAAAATAACACAATAATCCTAGTTGTTTTAAAACTTTAATAAATGATCTGGAACTGGAATAGGAAAAAAAAGGTACCAGAATAGATGAAAAAAATAGTACAGGAATTAGTTGAAAAATAATCAAGATGAATTAAATTTTCATGATTCATGAGCATAGCAGTTAAAACTAAAATTATATTTAGCATAGTTATTGCAACCGCACATGATTGGAATAACCTACAAAATAGGAAGAGAGATTTAAGAGAAAAGTGGAATGGAAGCTGAGACAACTGCATTACAAAGCTTCAGGTAGCCTTAGTCATGCCCTTATCTTCTATGTTGAATAAGAGGGTTGCATGTGAAACAAGGGTACAGAGCTGGGTTCAATACTGAGTGAAGGGTTGAAGGCTGGAGCAAGGTTGGAAGATTGTCAAAACGATGACAAATATTTACTGGAGCTACTCCTAATTTTGGACTCAACAGAGCAGGATGCTATGTGTGACACCATGCAAACATGATTTGTGATCCCTACATTAGTTTGTTGGTGTCGGTGGACCTCAACTCCCTAATTTGGTGTTTCCCATTGGTAAAGATGGGTTACAATCAAGTTAAAACAGCAAATTTGCCTCCCTTGTAGAATAGCAGCCACAGTGGTCCTTGCTGAACTACACTTAGCTCACTATTGTGGTGCCCCATACCACAACAGTGAAGTGTTCTGCAACAAGTATTCAGATGTGGCCAAGAGTCATGCTGCCATGTTATTTTATGTAGTAATGTCCATCAGATAGGCTGATGTTAAAAGCATTTGGTTTCAGGGGAGTAATTGATTGTTGTGTAAAGTTTGAAGTTCTTATAGTGCACCATTTTATTTTTTTTTACATTCTGATTAAACTCTTGCATGTTTTATTTGTCTACTTATTGGGTAAATTTTAAGCAATGAATTTTTGTTGCAGGCTATTAATTATCCGTTTTAATTTTTATGCATGGTTGATTTTTCATGTATTTAATTGGTTGAAGATGTGTGGTCAGTTTCTCTTTGGTAATATTGTCTTCATAATTGTTTTCATGCACTTTTAATTGTTTCCCCTTTTGGATAATGATTGGAGTGTGAAGTTTCATGTTGTTGTCATTTTGTGTATAATGTTCCAATTCCATTCATATATTGTTCTTTATAATGACATGTTGAAGTAGCTTGAGCGGTGGTTTTTTGTGTTTGGGGTTATTGGTTCTGAATTTCTGATGACTGGTGTAAATTCTAAATGAGTTTTTTGGATTATTTTGTGTTACATATTTATTGTCCTTGCTATGCCAATGTCTTAACATAATTTGTTTTACAGACACATTTCATGAGGTCAAGAGAAAGAGGGACAGAAGAAAGGAGGTAAGATATTTAAGTCAGCAATGGCCTTCAATAATATATTTATTACTAACTGGCTCTCATGGTTGATTATCTATTGTTTCTTTTTTTCCTGTGCACCTATTGTTGAATAGATTGTAGTACTAACTGAAAGTTCGTGTTTAATCATTCCACACAAGGATATTACAATTGTACTACTTTTATTATAGAATAGTAGTCAATCCTAATTACTGGTGCAGAGCAGTTGACCCCAAAAATGCTATTTCGCGGAACAGGATGACTTCTATTTTGGAGTACGCACACATATGATGGGAAAAAACCCCTAAAATTAATTACATGTTCATAGTTAATTATCAAAAGTTAGGATTTGAGAACTACAGTACCATTCACCCATCGTGACCCACATCAAAAGTCAAATGTCTATAACACAAAATAGAATCAAACAAGTTTAAGATTTAAAGGCCTATAAAACTATAGATTCAAATTTAAATACAAGTTTTTTAATGGGTATCATCTTCATCTCCAAAAATCTGCCATTTCTTTGTCCTCATTTTTGCTTTCACCATTACTTTTGTGCTTTGCTATCTCCTTAGCAAAGCTATCCAAGTGCTCAAATTTTTTTTTTCCCCACCTTAAGATCAACATTCACATCAACACACTTCACAAACATAGATCTAGTTTGATGATTCACCGAGAAATTGATCAAGGTTCTATTTTTCTTATCTGTCCAGGCATTTGAAGTAATTAAACATCCATAATTTCAACATCATGATTCTCTAATAGTTCCTTCATGTACTCCAACCTTTTTTAAAGAGAGGAACTTTACACTTATGATAGCTTGGAACCTTTTAGATGTGGGCCATAATTTCCAATAACTTCAACCATTAAGTCGAAGCTTTTGAACGACTATAAAAGCAATGCCATTTGTACAAAGGAATCACTCTTGTACTGAATTGTTCTTCTCTTTTCTCCTTGTCACAAGCATCATTTATGTTTGTTTGCCTATTAGACTTTCCTAATTTGATGGAAGTTTTTGGTTTGTTTGAACAACAAAATCCATGGGGCCACTCACATCTTTGGCTTTGTTGGTAACTTGGTAATGGCAGTAGCATCACATGATGTTGCAGGTATTTTTCCATTTCAAATATTCAAAATTTCTTGTACCGCTTCCTCCTCTTCATCTTGTGGCTCAATCAAGTATGCCCCCTTCCCAGCTTTCTTCTTCACACAGGCTTCCAGAAGGAGTCTTTAATCAACTTTCAATGTCTCCTTTCATTCCCATTTGATGTCTCTTTGCTCAGGTAATACTACCTGTAGTGGTTTTGCCACAAAAGTCACGAGTATGAAGTAACAGCCTTTCTGTAGTTGATATCATTTCAACTATTCCATTGTGGAGCTATATCCAAGTTATTTCCAGTGGGTTTTACCCTCTGCACAGGAAGAGATTGATACTGAGGCAGAGGCAATGTTAGGTGGTGTTCCCTGTGGCTGAGTGGATGTAGCCATTTCTGTTTCAGCCTTTTTAGAGAGATTGATGACAGAACAGAGAAGAAAGTAGAACAAGGTTGAAAAATGATGAATTCACTGTAAACTTGCCCGAAAAGAGATGGGTCTTTGTTAGAGATCACCACTGAAAACTGACCACAACAGAGATGGGACACAAGAAATTGGCCTGAACAGAGATTGGTCACTGGAAACTGGCCAGAAAAAAACTGTGTACCTCCAAAAACTGTTTTGGAGGAGCTGGGTCTTTGTTGGAGATGGTGAAGCTAGGGTTCCACAGTGGGGAGTGCGAATGGTGGGACCCCCCCCCCCCTAAAAAAGAGTTTAAATGCCATTGTCAAATTGGGCTTAACATGTGCTGAAGTAATTGTGGCAAATGTGGCTGCAATTTGCGGTGCTACAGGTGCATCGTTTGAGGTGCTCCACAATGAATGTCAGAAGAGTGGCAGGGTGATGCAGCATGCCTTGACAGCACTATAGCACTGCTCCTGTGTGCTATTTAAGACTATGAATTATAGTAATTAGTATTCTATTCCTAGAGGATTCAACTCCTTAATTAGAGCACTAATTGACTATACTTATTATGAATATCATTGATATACTCATTACTAATTGAATATCCTGACTCAAGCTAGTGTATATAGCATATGCACCAATCTTATAAGAGCATTTTTATTCTCTGCTACTACTTCATTTCTGGTTGGTAGACAAACTTCTGTTCCTCATTGGCTTGAGAGGATACTTTTAGGAGTTTTAGAAGTTGTGTCTCTTGTTTGCTAATGTGATGCGGCATTTCTCATTTACGCATGCTCTAATTATTTTCAATTTTATTAATCATTCAATATTGTTTGCTAATTTTGTTCCTGTTTCGCCCTTCATTTGTTTTTGATTTTGCAGAACCTTAACAACAGAGAATCTGTGGAACCACGCTGGAGGCCTGGCACCCAAGGGCGAGGAACTAGGGGTGGTCGGGGTAATTTTTCACCTCATAATGTATCACACGGTGAATAACCATTTTCAACAACTCTTTATTTTCCCTGTTAGATAAGCCCCTTCTTTTGTCTGTTAAAATAGTTTTTTGCTTTGACTACTTTAGGTTCTGTTTGTAGTCTGAACATGGTGTAAGTTTAACATCATCTGGCTGTTTTCTGTCAACTTATAATTTCAAACCAATGGTTCTGCTGCATATCTTGGAAGTTGTTACCTGCCCTTTATGTGTATACCTTGTAGCTTATATGAAAAATACTGGTTCTATCTGCGATGTAGTCTTAATTATATTACGGGAATATAGATATTATGTTGGCCATTCAGTGCACCTAAATCAAGATTATGTTTTATGGATCTTCTCAGATGCTGGTGGTGGCAAGAATTCTGGTACAGGAAAAGATAATGGAATTCATCAAGCCAGTGAGAAAGTTGTGCCACCTTTGTCAGCTTCTCAAGAGACAATATCTAAAGAAAAAAATTCTGGAACAAGGTGAGTAAATTAAATAATTTGTCGTGTGTTGTTAACTGCCATTACCATCCTCTTCCAATTATTTTACTTCTATTGAATTTAAATTTAAATTATAGTACATTCGGTTCAAACTACATAACTATACATGTTTTTTCAGTTCTGTACCCATTAATGCCAATGGTCCGACAAGCATAACTTCTGGAACTACTAGTGGTGCAAGTCCTTCCCCCTCATCTGCTGGAGCTGCAGACAGATTAGGTCCATCTTCTGGTGATATTAATAATTTGAATAGTGCTTTGCCTTCTGATAGTTCAAATAAAGTTACAACTGTTGCTTCTGGAAGTGGATCTATGCTTTCCTCCAGTAACCACCCAGGATCTGGACCAGCATCTTCTTCATCTGCCTATTTCTCTTCTTCAGACCCAGTACTGGTTCCATCTGAGGATTTATGGTTTCCTGGTGCTGCTGGTGCAATTAGACGTGAAGTGGGAAACCTACACCCTCCTGGGGAATTAAGTGCTGTTAACTCTGCTGAGAACAAATTAACTATTGGTTAGAATGTTTGATATTTTCTTTCATAATAATTTGATGGTTTTAAAGTTTTCCAAAGTAATTAACAAAGAATTTTCCCCCCATTAACTTATGCCAGCTTCTGAGACTGGTGGCTCTTCTGTGCAAGGAAAGATTCAAGGAAAACCCCTGGGAGCGGCAAAGAATCATGTTTCTGAAATGTCACCTGCTTCATCAACAGTAACTCATAGCAGCCCTTCAACTAGTAGACCTTCTTCTAATTACAGTAGCCGATCACAACAATTAATTGGCCCTCAAAAAGGTAATTTATATCTCATGTTTCATGCATGAGCCTTGTGTTTTTTCTTCTCTTGCCGTCCCCTCCCCAGGCAATGCTCTCCAGCCAAATAGGTCATCGCTGGCAAATGACCCATCTCTGGAGGATGAGTAATTTTGTTCCCTTATGTAACCTCTCTGTTCTTTGTTTCCTTCTGTTTGATTATTCATCTCTGTTCTCTCTATGCCTTAATATTCTGATATCCGAGTCCCTTCCTCCATCTCTCTCTCTCTCTCTGTTTATTTAGGCCTATTATTCCTGTTTTTGAGTCTCTATGTTCTCCAAGTCTCTGTTCTGTCCTCCCTCACCTCTGTTAAGTAGTTCATTTCTGTTTGTTCTGCAGTTTCTTCAATATACTTTTTTTTTTGTATATATCATTCTTTATTACAGCCATCATCGCCATGCTTCTGCTATAGTCTGCAACATTATCTGCTATATTGTCATGGTATGATTTTGGCTTTCTGCCAGCCACCATTAATAACTTTGATTAGAATATTATTGTATGTTGATTTGATTAGAATGGTCACTTACTGATTATTAGGCTAAAAATTAATTCTTTTGTCAGCTAAGATTACTTCTAATTGATTGAGTCAATAAAATACCAGAACACGTGTGTACAGTTTAGACTAACACAATTCTTCTCTATAATTCTCTCTAGTATTGAAAATTTGGGGCTTTATATATTTGTTAATACCAATTTGTTTCATTTAGCTATTAGTTTTTATACTTATTTAAATGATCATGATTAAATTGTTTGTTTTTTCTTCTGAAAATTTGGTTTTTGATAGAGCAGCACAATGCTGTTTGATCCACATAGCTATTCTCAAATTGTGGGATGAGGCTTATTGTTGCTTAATGCTGTAGAAATTTTATCATGATATTATCATAATAGCATGATTACATATATGTAAAAAAATCCTCCCATGCCTTGTAGGTATTTGTGATACATCTTATTACCCGATTGTAAGGATTCTGTCATTTTAGGTATCTGTATGTATCTTATTATGTAAGTTATTACCCGATTATAATTCTTCTGTTATTATTCATAACCTAGTTAATAACCATATTCTGGTGTCTTTAACTGTTAGATGTATGGTTTTAATTTAAGATATTGGTAGGTGCGTATTTGTGTAGATTTGTAAGGATATGCTAGTAATGGTGAATATACATTTAAAGTTTTCCTGGCTGTAGCCATTTATGATGATTGATTGGCTTTTTTCCCACTTGTGCCAATTGCTCCATTTAGTTGTTCCCATTTGGTGGGGATATAACTTATTTGTTAAAGGCTGTTAGGTTGACTTGCGCTAGATTTATAATTAGTTTCTGTTTCCAACAGCTGGTTCTAATAAGGAGTGGAAACCAAAATCAACACATACAATTAATCAGGGTTCTGGACCAGCAAGTGCATCCGAGGCTCCTGTTTCAGCTGACACAACTGGACAGTTACAATCTGCATCTAGAGCCCTTGACTCTGAAGAAGCTACTTCAAAACTGCAGAGCAAGCTTGAGGATTTTCATCTTCCACAGCGTCAACATGTTATACTTCCAAACCATATCATTGTGCCTGATTCTGAAAAGAACAAGTTTAGCTTTGGAAGTTTGGGAGTCACTTTTGGAGTTAATACAAGCTATGTTAGTGGTCCAGAGAGCGAAAAGAGTTCTACACCTGTTTCTGAAACTTCTCAGACTATTGAAGAAACTGTGGAGGAGCAGGATTCAAGGTACCTACTAGTGACCAGCCTAAATACTTATTATTTTCCTTCCATTCACTCTTGGTGGTATAATACTATTTATAAGAGCCTAGATATTTTCTTTAACCCTTTTTTTTCTGTTTTTTTGCTGCAACAAGTATGTTGTATTTCTATTCTCATTTTCAACATCATATACCTATTTTTTTCTATACCAATGTTTTTGTGGAAAACATTTTAACTAAACTTTTAGTTGTTTTCCATTTGTTTTGACAAATCTTGTTTCTTAAACGAACAGCCAAAATGCTGCGGTTACTTCTGAGGCTGGAGATTATACTGACCATCCACAATCACCCATTAATGGACCCGAGAATTTGTCATCCAGTGAGGTTGATGGCTCATCCAGTGCTATTCAGGAGTATAACGAGTCCAAGCAAGACATTGCTTTGCCATCTGGAGGTCATCAGTACTCAGGGGTTCTTACTTCTCCAAACTACAGTTTCGGTTTTGTGCCCCCAATGTTGGGTACTCAGCTTACTCCATTTGACAATTCCGAGTCTCAAGTGCGTGATGTTTCTCGGCTTCCAAGTTTTATTGTAAGCCAGCTATCTATATATATTTTTTGTTCATTTAATTTACTATGCCTTTTTTGTAGCTTAAGAAGTTTGATTGTTATCTTACTATAGGTTCATCAACAGTTGGATCCAGCTAGTTACTATGCCCAGTTTTATCGGACAGGTGCTGATAGCGATGGTTGCCTTTCTCCTTTTTCTACTGCTGGGGCTAACACCAAGTACAATGGCAGTGTTGCAGTGCTTCCTGCTCCAACTTCCCAGTCTCCTCAAGAGGTGTGCACTGATATTATTGCTATTCAAATTCATTTCTGAACCAACGATACAAAGTAATGTTTTAAAATTTGAAAAATCTGTGTTGCACTTTTCCCCCCTTTACACTGTTTTTCTGCTGGCTTGTATTGTGAAATTGGATTTCATTTCTAGTTGTGTATTTATTTTATGCATATTTGGCAGTATAGTTTGATTACTTAGAATATCGTACAAAGTGTTATTTTCTGAGAGGATATCATGTCTAGCATATGCTTGATAGTTGATCCATTTATCGAATGACATTTTAATACATATTTGATCCATTTAGTCAATGGCTTTTAGGTTCAGTGCTGGTTGAAACTTGAAAGCATGTTTGTGCCTCTATATTTGATTCAGCTGGATTTTCTTGCATGTACTTCTTATGCTAAGCTTTTCATGACCTGTTCATTTTTTAGCCTTTCTTCCCTACTGTCAATTAAAATGCTTTTTATTTAAGGTGGATTTGATCATAGGCATAGGAGTGAAGTTGGGAAAATTGTGAATAGATAGAGGAATGAAAGTTGGCAAGTTAGAACCTGTTTACTTCTAGAGTTTCTGTCTAACTGTTAATTTAAAATTGTTTGATGGAATTGATCATAGAGTGGGAGTGCTGCTAGGAAATGTCAAGATATATAGTCATTTACAAGCCCCCACATGATAGCTTAAGCTTTTGGGAAAAATTGGTGCTTGACGTAATATTAGAGTGGTACCATCTAACCATCTTACATGATCTCATCTTGGTACTATTCCACTGCTAAGTCCTGCAAAACCTTGAACTCCTCTCACATGGTATGGTATCACACTCAGCCTATATGATCAAGTAGTGGTCAGGAGTTTGAATATTGCCACCCTCATTCTCCTAAATAAAGCTGGACTTCGGCACTAGACTGTCATCCATGCTTCAAGCCTAAAGGACTCTTGTGCGATGGCGATCCCCCACCTAACAACTTCAACTTTTGGGAGTTAGTTCTTGACAAGATGTCTACTAAATTAGAGCAATCATTTATCATGGGCTGCTACAAAACAGTGCTTCTATTAGAAGTGTCGTGGACTTAACCCCGAAAGCTAGCACAGGGTAGGAGGATTACAAAGCATTGTAAGCAGTATTTTCACCATATTCTTATCCAATATGGAACATCTTAACAGCCCCTCACACTCAGGTTTGGACATCTTTGGGTGGGCTAACATCCATACTAGATAGGCTTTGATATCATATTAGAAATAGACCAGGCCTTACTCAACCCCAAAACCTAACTCGGGGGAAGGATTGTCCAAGCTTTAGGAGGAGCATTTTTCGCATAGTTAATGTAGTTCTTAATGGATATAATAGGCATACAAAATTATTATGCTTTCAAAATCAACTTTGTTTCTTTTTTATAACTGTAGTCTATGTGTGACTGAACATGCACTCTTCTTTCTGCGTTGGCTGTGTAGTTTTTCATCACACTTAAATTGGTTCGAGTCTTTTTCCTGATGTACTGTTGCTGGCAAGAACTGACTTCATAATCTTAATACTATTAAATTAGTGTTTTTAATTAATAATGATTTTCTTTAAATAGAATTGTATCATTTTAGGAAATCACAGGGAAGAGACCCAATCATTAAATTCTAAAGCATATTCTATAGTTTTGACCATTTGATTGGTGCACAAAGATTTTGAAAAATTTATGCCATTTAATGTTTATTTGCAGGGAGGTGTCTTGTCCACCGCAGGTCCAACACCACTTGTGACTCAAGCTGCTGGGCTGATGCAAAGCTCAATAGCAGTTACTCAACAGCCTGTTCCTGTCTTCCGACCTGGCGGGGTGCATATATCCCATTACCCTCCTAATTACATTCCTTATGCTCCCTATTTTTCACCATTTTATGTCTCACCTCCGGCAATCCACCAATTTTTGGGTAATGGTGCATTTCCTCAACAACCACAAGCCAGCACTGTATATCCACCTCCCCCAGCTGTGGCTGCCACAGGAATGAAATATCCTCTTCCACAATTCAAACCTGGAGTAAATGCAGCAAACCCAACGCACCTTGTAATGCCTAGTGCCTATGGTGTATATGGCTCCTCGGCAGCTGGTTACAATCATAACTCTGCAGCAACTGCTGGGAATTCAACCTCCAATGAGGATCTTGGTTCCTCTCAGTTCAAGGAAAACAATGTATACATCGGTGGACAGCAGGTTAGTTCCTTTTACTGTTACACCTTCAGTTTGTTAATTTGGTTAAAGAATTTAATGGCCTTTTATTTGAATGGCCAAAATACTGCATTCAAATATAGAAATTCAATTAAGTTTATCAGGTTTACCCCAGCTCCTGTAAGACATTGTGAAAAGAGCATGCCATAAAATTTACGTCTGTACTTAGTTTAAAAAATTTCATGATAATTTTGTTCTGTATTTTGACAGCAGAGTGAAGGTTCA